TTAAATAACAAGTTATTTTAAATGTTATGCAACAAATAACTTGCAAAATAAATGTGGTTGCCATGCATATGTAGTGCCATGCTCGCTTTGATTCAAAAGAAAAGCAAGAACCGTTTCTTAAAACTTTAAAAGAACAAAAGCCCACCATAAAATATATTGTTAAATTTGAAAGCGAAAGAAAACAACTTAATTTTTTAGATATTTGTTAAAATACAATAAATGAATTTTATGAGTTTCAAATACATCATGAGGATGCGGTAGCAACTATTCAGAAAAAACTGAACTCAAACATCAACCAAAACATCAAAAAACATCAAAAAAACATCAAAAAAACATCAACAAAAAAAACATCAAAAAAACATCAAAAAAGCATCAACAAAAACATCAATGTTGTCAGGTCAGGAGTATGGTCTTCATGATCATCCTGCTACTGGTAACATGTAACCCAGTGCAACCTGTTCCATGTTCTGCTGCCTTGCAGGATTTGCTATCTAAGCAAAGGCTGGAAGGAGTGTTCTTCCTGTCATCAGTACTATCTTATATCAGTCATGCATATAGTAATTTTTTTTTTTTTTTTTTTTTTCCTAAATATAGTTGGAGGTGCCTTAGTTACTGTATTAGCTCACCTGTAATCTATGTTATATGTATGTTTGTGTTCTGTCTGAACCTCTGGCGCGGTGTTCGCTCACCCGTAAGTTACTTTATGTTCTTTATGTATGTCTGTGTTCTGTCTGAACCTCTGGCGCGGTGTTCGCTCACCCGTAAGTTACTTTATGTTTATGTTTATGTTTTTTATGTTTTTTTATGTATGTTTGTGTTCTGTCTGAACCTCTGGCGCGGTGTTCGCTCACCCATAAGTTACTTTATGTTTTTTATGTATGTTTGTGTTCTGTCTGAATCTCTGGCGCGGTGTTGACTCACCCGTAAGTTGATTTATGTCTATGTTTGTTTGTGTTCTGTTTATACTCTAATGCAGCGTGAGCTCAGTAACTAACTACTTACTCCAACTACAAAACGTACACTCACCTTAGACTCCTGTATTTTGTTAGATGCAGTGTTTTTCCTAATGCACTTCCGAAATGTCATGCCTGGTTTTCTCAAAGTACTGTTGCGGGAAGTAACTCCTTTTAACTACTCCAGGTCAGGTCAGGATAATCAAGATCAATCTTGCTACTGGTATCACGTAACCCAGTACCACCTGTCACAAGCCCTGCTGCCTTGCAGAGTGTGCTATTCTTATGCAAAGGCTAGGAGAAATAAACTCCGACTAAAAATTCCCCTGCCTTGGGGCTCTTGGTTGAGTAAAGGCTAGAGATGGTGTCTCGATAAAAACACTCATCTTTGGGCAGATGCTAACTGCATCCAGCTAAACATCCCCTGCCTTGGGGCTCTTGGTTGAGTAAAGGCTAGAGATGGTGTCTCGATAAAAACACTCATCTTGGGCAGATGTTAACTGCATCCAGCTAAACATCCCCTGCCGTGGGGCTCTTGGTTGAGTAAAGGCTAGAGATGGTGTCTCGATAAAAATACTCATCTTGGGCAGATGTTATCTGCATCCTGCTACTGTCTTCTAGAAGGCCTCTAGGCAAAGACTTTAGGGGTAAGCAGAAAAATTCTGCTAACCAGCCTCGAACCCCTTCTTCATCTATTAGGCTGGCGTAGATGTAACCCTAATCATTTACCTTCACTCCTTGACTTATGTCTTGTCTCTGACCCTAGCTTATGTTCAGTTTCTCCCTTTTCTCCCTTAGGTGGTTCTGACCACGCAATGATCTCTGTAAATCTTTCTTCTCGTACTTCTTTTTTGGGCTCACTTTATCATCGCACCACCTACTACTACCCTAAAGCTGACTGGGATTCCTTTCGTGATTTTCTTCGTGATGGTCCTTGGGCTGATGTTTTTTCTCTCTCAGCTGACAAATGCGCCTCCTACGTAACCTCCTGGATTCAGGCTGGAATGGAAGCTTTAATTCCTTCTCGTCGGTTTCAAGTCAAGCCTCATTCTACTCCATGGTTTTCTCCTTCTTGTGCGGCTGCTATATCCAATCGTAACCATTTTTTTCATCTTTTTCAAAAGAACAACTCTCTTGAGAACAAACGGCTATTTATTATTGCAAGAAATCGATGTAAAAAGGTGCTTTCTGATGCTAAACTCCATTATTCTCAGTTCACTAAATCTCGCATCTTATCGCAGAAGTTAGGCTCTAAAGACTTTTGGAAAATCTTCAACAACATTGTTAACAAGGGTAGATCTAACATTCCATCTCTCATTCATGGGACTGATCTTGTTACCTCTCCCAGGGATAAGGCAGAACTGTTTGCAAAGAACTTTTCTTCTAATTCCACTCTTGAATCTTATGGACATTCTCTTCCTTCCATTCCAGTCAAACAGGTTGACCCATTGTTAGACATTCAAATCACTCCGGCTTCTGTTGCTAAAGTCATATCTCAATTAAACTCGTCTACAGCTTGTGGTCCAGACAACATTCCTGTCACAGTCTTGCAGAATTGTTCTCCAGAACTTTCTTCAATTCTCTCTAAACTATTTAACAAGTGTTTGACTGAGTCTTGTTTTCCTGCTTGTTGGAAAATGGCATCTGTAGTTCCAATATTCAAAAACTCTGGAGAAAATTCTGACCCCTCCAATTATCGTCCGATCAGTCTTCTTTCTGTTATTAGCAAGGTCTTTGAGTCTTTGATCAACAAATTCCTCACATCTCATCTTGAGTCAAATAAACTGCTGTCAGACAATCAATACGGTTTTCGATCCTCTCGCTCTACGGCCGACTTGCTAACTGCTGTAACTGAAAGATTTTATCGTGCATTAGATGAAGGCGGTGAAGCTAGGGCTATTGCTCTCGACATATCTAAAGCTTTCGACAAAGTTTGGCATGCTGGTCTTCTCCATAAGCTTGCTTCATATGGTGTTTCTGGGAAAGATTTTGAGATTATCAAATCATTTCTTTCTGACCGGTTTGTTAAAGTCATCCTTGAAGGCCAACACTCTTCTTTATTTCCAGTAACTTCTGGGGTTCCCCAAGGTTCCATCCTGGGCCCTGTTTTGTTTCTTATCTACATAAACGATCTTCCTGACAACCTTTCATCTAAAGTAGCTCTTTTTGCTGATGACTCAACTTTATACTCCTGTCTTGACAAAAAGTCTTCTCTTTTCGATCGCCTAGAACAAGCAGCTGATCTTGAATCTGATCTCACTTCAGTAATAGATTGGGGTTCACAGTGGCTTGTGAATTTCAACTCTAAAAAAAACCCAATTGCTTACTGCAAACAACTACCGTAGTATGGTCAACATTCCTATATTAATGAATGACAATCCTCTTACTGAGTCGTCCTCTTTACGTCTTCTTGGATTATCGCTTACTACTGACCTTTCATGGAAACCATATATACAATCGATTGCTAAATTAGCTTCTGCTAAGGTTGCTTCTCTTTATCGTGCTCGCCATTTCCTTACTTCTGATTCCATTCTCTACCTCTACAAATCTCTTATTCGTCCCTGTATGGAATACTGTTGTCATATTTGGGCTGGTTCTTCTAACGATTCACTTTCTCTTCTTGACAAGGTCCAAAAACGCATTGTAAATGTTGTTGGACCTGGACTATCTGCTAAGCTTGAACCTCTTTCCCATCGTCGTAAAGTTGCATCTCTTTCTCTTTTCTACAGATACTATCATGGTCACTGCTCAAAGGAGTTATCATCTCTAATTCCATCAACTAAAATTCATTCTCGTTTTACTCGTCATTCAGCTAAGTCTCATTCGTTTACTGTATCTGTCCCAGCATGCTCTAAAAACTTTTATTCATCTAGTTTTTTTCCCCGCACTTCAATCCTTTGGAACTCTCTCCCATCTTCATGTTTTCCTGACTCCTACAACCTTCAACTTTTCAAGTCTTCTGTGAACCGTTTCCTTGCTCTATAACTCTGTTCTTTTTTTTCCTAGTAACTCCCAACTTAATAGTGGTTGCTTGCAGCCTTGTTGGGAGTGAATGCAAATAAAAAAAAAAAAAAAGTTAAAAATATACCAATAAAATGATCCGCAACTACATTAGCCGAATATTGGCTGAACAGCGCATTAGTGTAAGAACAGATTTTTATAGCAAAATATTGAGCCGGTACTGCATTGGACCTAACATAGTACGATATTTGTGAAAAATAGATTTGGAGAATTGAAATATTACGCCAAAAAAACAAATAAACTTTGATTAAATGTTGGCCCAACGGAAAAAAATTTCCAATGTTAAAACTTACGTTGGGCCAATGAAAGCTTGCTGTCTGGACAGATTTAATATCGAGAATATCAAATGCTGATAATTTAGCAAAACCATCATTATAAGTAATGGTTGCAATTTATGCAGCTGTTTCAACAACAGTTTATAGATGAATAAAAATTTAGGGGAACAGTTTCAAATTACTTAGTTTGTTAAAAAAGTTTGTAGAAGTTCATCTATAAAGTTTCAATAAGACAGGAAATAATTAAATATTTATATACCCGACGGGCATTTCTTTTTAAAAGTTACGATCTAAATGTATTTTAAATGTCTTTTAAACGTCTTTTAAACATTAATGTTTAAAAGACGTTTAAAAGACATTTAAAACACATTTAGAACGTAACTTTTAAAAACAAATGCCCGTCGGGTATCATCTTAAATTGTGTTTAGTTATGAACATTTTAAGTACTTGTTGAAATATTTTGAATGTTTATTTAAAGAGTTATTTAAATTTTATTATATACGTTTGAAAGAAAAAATTTAAAAATAGAAAAACTTGAATATCGAGCATATATTAAAACTCCCCGACGGGCATTTGTTTTTAAAAGTTACGTTCTAAATGTGTTTTAAACGTCTTTTAAACATTAATGTTTAAAAGACGTTTAAAAGACATTTAAAATACATTTAGATCGTAACTTTTAAAAACAAATGCCCGTCGGGTCGTGCTGTACTTGGAGTTTTAGCTCAAGCCATAACCGATGAATTGGTTTTAGTTTATGGTAACCAAGCTCCAAAATATAGTATAGTTGCCAAGTGGGCTACTTTATTTAAAGATGGTAGAGAGAGTCTTGAAGATGATCCTCGCTCAGGACACCCTAAAACCACGTATACAGCTGATAATATTGAACAAGTGTAGAGCCATTATTGAAAAAAATCCGCATGCAACACATGATATAATTGAAGCCTTGACATCAATTAATCGTTTTACAATTAACAAAATCATTCACAATGTACTTAAAAAAAGAAAACTTACATCACGTTGGATAAACCACGAGTTAACCGATGAAAATCAAAAGTATAGAGTTGAGGCATGTACGGAAAATTTAGCCCTTTTCAGAAACGGCCCATGGAGGCTATGTGATATTGTTACAGGAGATGAGTCATGGTTTTATTTGAGACAAGTTGGACACAAGTCAGCTAACTAACTTAACTCTAGTTGGGTCGGTGAAGGTGAAAGTCCAAGAACTATAGTAAGATGCGATAGGTTTCAGCCGAAAAGCATGTTCTACATTTTCTTCAAAACAACAGGTGTTGTTCATTTGGGTATGTTGAAAAGGGAGACACTATTACTAGCGAATATCATATAAAAAGCTGTTTGAAACCTCTTATATGCGAATTAAATAAGCAAAAACCTAAAACGGGCACTCACAATTTCAAATTTCTTTATGATAACGTTCGACCCCATGTAACTCAAACCGTCACAAATTGTCTAAACCAAGGTGGAATTACAATAATTCGCCACTCACCATACTCACCAGACTTAGCTCCATCCGATTATTGGCTATTCGACTTGATAAAAAATGATCACGATACTGATGATGACGATACTGATGTCCGAAAGCCAAAAAAACCGCATAACGAAGCTACTTGACAGTATACCCAAAGAAGAGTAAAAAAAACGTTTCACAAATGGCTTGAAAGGATGCAACTTTGTATAGATAATGATGGACATTATTTTGAACATTTAATAAAATTAAATTAAAAAAAACTCTTTTATTTTTTTTTAATAGGGGAGTTCTACAAACTTTCCTAACAACCTAAGTCGTTTATTTAAACGCTCTATTTCCAAACGAATAAAAATGCAAATATTAACACAAGTGGAATCGGTATTTCGCACATAAGCCGATATTTACAAATTCTTTTAGCGCATTTATGCCAGTTCGCATTTATGTCGATTTGCTCTTACAACAATGTTTGCAAATTCTTTCGGCGCACTTTTTTTTTTTTTTTTAATTCACCTCCTCAAGGCCGAGAAGGCCACTACAGAGGAGGAGGCTACTTAATAGTGGTTATAACCCTTACTCAACTCTATAACTCCGAAACACGAACCTTGACAAACAAGGCCGCTGCGCGGAGAAACAAGTTGAGCGCGGTACTACCAGGGACGTGGTGGGAATGGAACTCGGATCCTCTCGCTTATGAAGGGAGTGTTTTACCACTACACCACTACCGCAAATACTAATGCTGATTTGCACTTATGCGAATGTTTGCAAATTTTTTTTAGCGTACTTATATGCTAGTTCGCACTTGTGCCAACTAATTCGCACTTATGACAGTTTGCACTTACGTCATTTACACTTATGAACTTCGCTCTTACTCAATCGTCCTATTCATAATAGTTTCAGGTTTTGAATTGCGGAGCAGCCGTGGCGCAGTGGTTAGAGCACTTGCTTGCAAAAAAAAAAAAAAAAACACCACAATAGCATCATTTATATTTCAGAATCAGTTAGAATTCGAAACACCACAATCAAAAACATCGTTTATATTAAATGTTAACATAGCTTCTAGTCCTCTGCCTTCCTCTTTGTAAATGCTAAAACTATGTGCGCATTAATTTCTTCACTATTTATACCATATTTGTTTTGTTTGTTATCAGGAAAAGAAAATAATAATCTGAAAATATAGAAATGCAAGAAATTTGAAAAACAAAGAAATCACCGAATGTCTCGGCCACGATACAATGAAAGTTTTGTATTGCAAATACAAGTTTTAAGATTTTTCCTACTTAAAAAACAGTTTACTGTATTTGTAGCAAATTAGTTATTAGAATTAAATTGAAGTTATTAGAATATATAAGTGACATTAAACTTTCTTTCTCCTTTTTTTTTTGTTGATATCATTTACTTTCCAACAAATAATGTTAAATATAATGGGTTAGATACAAAATTAGAAAGTGCAAAGAACTTTTTCATCCGAATTCAAAAAACAATAAAAATAATAACAGTTAAAAAGTGCTTTAGGAGCAGTGGTTTTTTTACATTTAGACCAATATAAGCTTGAAACATTACTAAAAGAATAAATTAAATAACTAAAAGTTATAAATTGGCTGTCCCAGGGCTGTTTTAAGTAACTTAATTACTTATGTAATTTTTTGTAATTTTTGTACTTGATTCAAATACTTAAGTAAATCTATATTACTTAAGAGGTATTCCATGAGGAAGTGGGACAGGCATGTAACCCACCATCTTAGATTTTCTTCATACTTTGTAAAAATGGTTTCCTGTATAACATAGACTACCTAGCAAAATTTAAGCTCTGATATCAGATGGATTTTTAAGATATTGTTACTTTAAAATCGGCTATTTTAAGCAGTTTTTTTTGTTCGGCGGCCATTTGATTTTACAACAGCTTTTGTTTTACTAGCTACTTTTCAACTAAACAATTAGCACAAGTACAATAATTGGAAATTAGCACCAGTACAGTTTTTAGGACGAGGAATCAGAATATGGAACTAGTTTACAATAAAAATATTTAGAACTCTATCAATATGGAGATTGTACTTTGCCTATAGCTACTTTTAAAATTTAAACAAAGGTCCTGGTAACCATAGTAACATAAATTTTTTATTCACGTACCAATTGAATAATTGCATGCTCAGTTGAGTTATTCTTTTTAAAGCCAAACCAATTTTTGTATAATAGATTATTTAAGCTAAAATAATTAAATACTCTATTGAACATTATTCTTTCTAGTATTTTTGAAAATATAGATAAGATAGAGATAGACTGGTAATTACTAATATCAGATTTGTCATCATCTTTGAAAAGTAAAATGACTTTAGCAATTTTCAATTGATCAGGAAAACTTTCTTTTTTTATTGATGGTTTAAAGACTTTAAAAATAATATATTTTATTTGTTCAAAGCAATCTAAAATGTTCCCATTGATTTCATCCGGTCCAACTGCTTTATTTTTTAGCGTTTTGAAGGCTTTTTCGAACTCTTCAAATAATAACTCTTTAGATAACTCATCTGAGTGAATGCATCAGTACTAGGAAATCTTTAAATGTGGCGTCTGTATTAGGAATTAATTTAGATAGTTTAAGGCCAATTTCAACAAAGCATTTATTAAATTCGTAAATCATTGTTTGAAAATTATTTATATTATTATTATCTACTTTGATCATGATTTTGATTTACCGGTAATTTCTTTTATTATTTTCTAGGAGCGTTTACAATTACTTTTTGCTTTATTCAAAAAATTTCCGTAATTCAAAAGCAATGTTGGAAGTGTAGTTTCATTCCACGAAGCAGTCATATTATTCGTCACGGCGGCACTTTCGCCTGAGATTATTTTAAAGCTGATGCCGTTCCTAAAATTTTTTTTATTCTTTTTTATTTGAGTTTTCATGCTATATTTTTTTATACAATATTCTTATATCCGAAGATATTGTTGGCTTAGCATAGGAACAGCCACAAATAGTCATTAAGACTAGTCCAAAGTAGCGTCCGTTATTGACCAACATTTTTGCGTACCGAAGTACTACTTAAGCGCTGAGTTGGCGGTGGCGGGATTTGAACTCGTATCGTTCAACAGTCCGGGTTTTCACTTTTCCCTTAACGCTCTAACCATCTGAGGTGTCCCGCCACAAGGGGAAAAATAAAAGAACAGAATAATTGAATTTTAATTACACGTTTAAAAAACTAAATAAACAGATTCATGTTATTTGTTTATATTAAAATTGAACAAGATTTGACAAAATTTAACTGACTTTTCTTTCCAATTATGAAACCATCAATCAGATGCTTTAAAATCCAACTCTCCTAATGCTTCTGCGAATTTTAGTGCCTTTTCTTTTAGTATGGTACCATCAATTGGTACTTGTTGACTTCTTTTTGCAACGAACCACGTGAATATGGCCTTGTCTACATTTTTGAAATTACCACTACGAAGTTTCTTCCGTTTAGGTTTTGTGCCATTTTTTTCCAGTGAGGCTAATAACTTGGTTTTATTTTTAATCCAGGTTGGTAATGTGTTCTTTGGGACTCCATACTTTTTGGCAACCTCTTTGTTAGACATCCCTGTCTCTAGGTCTTTTAATGCCTTGCATTTTTCTATTATAGATTTGTTCTTGAGTTTTCGTTTAACGAGCGGCATGTTGTTGCGTTTGACAAAAAGAATAAATTAATATATTAAAGGAAAACTTTTCAGAAATTCGATTTTTAAAAGAAATCGAATTTAAAAATCGAATTAAAAATTTTTTTTTTCGAAAATTGGAATTATAAAAAAAATTAAATTTTATTAAAACATTTTTGAAAAAAAAAATGTTGAAAAGTTCGAGATAACGAGAGAAAATTGCCCTGTGGACCGAAAATATTGTTCGAGATACCAAAAAGTTCGAGATATTAAGGTTCGAGATATCGAGAGGGTTTTAGCCTAAACTAGTACGTTATGTCCATGAGACCGCTAAAATTGTTCGAGATACTCAAAAGTTCGAGATATCAAGTATTTGAGATATCGAGAGTCGACTGTAGTATCTTATTCTTGTTTAAACCCAATTTTGTAGTGTTTTCTTCTGTTTGAGTCGTTATAGTTTTCAAATTTTAGAAACTTTCAAAGTTTTCTAAAAAATTGAAATATGACTGAAAAAGCCTTCGATAGTGATGGAAAACTAATCGTACTGTCCTGGCCATTTGTAAAAAGGGTCTTAGCTCACGACCTGATAAGATTTTGAGGGAAATACATATTAAAACAACTGATTGGAGATAATTTTGATCGCGAAAACCCTTATAAGCGTAATAAAAAGATGCGGGGATGGTTGTGAAAATTTACTGAAAATTTACGTATCAACAATGCTGCTACTTTCTACACCACTCCAATTTTGTCTATATGGCAATCAGAGTGTGGCAATTTCATTTTGTTCCCTTCTGAAGACGCCTACACTTTTAGGATGGTTGAAAAAAACCACGCCAAACACTGCTTTCCGAGGATCGATTTCAAAGAGTATTTGTGTTACCTAAAGAGTGGCACGAAATGCAACATTCGCCATCGTGTGTATAATTCGAATTCCATAAGATTCTTTTATTTATGAAATGTATTTTTAATTGATCCCAGCTCTCTCAGTTTTTTTTAATGGTGCAATGAGTGTTTGAAATGTGGCCAAAATGTGTTTGAAACAAAAGCTTCCATTGAAAACTGTGGAAATTTCATGTTTTTATATACTTTTGATATTATCTGTATAAATGTTTAATATTTATGGTTGTTTATTAAAATTATTATAAAATCTGTTTTATTTAGGTACTTCAAGTATACTTAAAGATTGAATTAAATATTTATTATGTTAATATTTATTAACATAATAAATATTTTTAAATAAACTATTTTTAAATATTTATTAGGTTAATGTTATTGATGATAAAACTATTTACAAGCTAGAAAGTAAGTCAAATTTATAACTCACTTCAATTCAATAACATACAGGACTTTATAACTCAAGTTTAGGCTTGAATAGATTTCAATTAACTTTTGTACTATAAACTTAACAGTTTCTGACTCATTTAGTATATTCAATGACGATCAATTGTGATATGCATAATGTGAAATTGTGATATGCATATGTTTGGTGTGCATCTTAAGAACATAAGACAATGTA